CATGAGGTCCTCCTCAGTTTCAGCGAGCAAGGTTGTGTCATCTGCATAAGGCAGATTGTTGATAGATCGTCCACCAATCCTAACGCCACACTTCTTCTCATAGAGCCCCACCTCTCGGATAATCTGCTCTGCATACAGGTTGAAAAGGTATGGAGACAGGACACATCCCTGGTGTACACCGTTTCCAATTTTGAACCATGCAGTGTTGCCCTGCTCTGTTCTGACTACTGCCTCTTGGTCCAAGTATAGGTTTCTCATTAGCACGATTAAATGTTCTGTGATTCCCATTCTTCTCAGAGTCAGCCACAGTTTGTTATGATCCACGCAGATAGACAGATAGACATTCTTCTGGTATTCTCTGCTTTCAGCTAAGATCCATCTAACATCACCTACAATATCCCTAGTACCACGACCCCTTCTAAACCCAACCTGGACTTCTGGCAGTTCTCTGCTGATGTACTGTTCCAGTTGTTTTTGGATAATCTTCAGTAGAATCTTGCTTGCATGTGAAATCAATGATATTGTTCTGTAGTTTCCACACTCAGTTGGGTCGCCCTTTTTTGGGATGGGAACAAATATAGATTTCTTCCAGTCAGTTGGCCAAGTGGTTGTTCTCCAGATTTCTTGGCACAACTTGGTGAGCACATCCACGGTAGCATCTGTTAGCTGAAATATGTCAATTGGTATACTATCTATTCTGGGGGCCTTATTTTTTGCTATTTCCTTCAGAGCCGCTTGAACTTCTGCCTCCATCACCATAGGCTCTGGCTCAAATGCTATTTCATTAAATTCTTCTGTACCTGCCAATTCGATACAGTGACTCAGTATATTCCTTCCATCTTCTTTTGATACCTCCTGGATCATTTAACATTCTGCCTAAAGCATCCTTGATCGTAGCAACTCGAGGTTTGAATTTGTTCTTCAGTTCTTTGAGCTTAAAGAAACGCTGAACGAGTTCGGCTCTTTTGATTTTCTGACTCTATCTCCTCGCACATTTCATTGTAGTATTTTGTTTTGTCATTCCGTGCTGCCTTTTGGAATCTTCTGTTCAGCTCTTTAGTGTCTTGGATTCTTCCTTGTGTTTTGGCTTCTCTACGTTCCAGTGCAATCTTCAGAGTTTCTTCTGACATCTTAGAATTGGAGTATAAAAAGAGAACTCATTCAACATTTCTCAAGCTGAAAGAATTGAAAAACAAATTCAGCCCTCAAGTTGCAATACTTAGGGATGTTGTTTTGTTGTTATATGCCTTTGCGCCTCACAGCGACCCTATATACAATAGCCCTAAACCCTGCTCTATCCTGTGCCAGTCTCACCGTCTCTGACACACGTATCCCGACTGCCTTAGTTATCGAATCAATCCACGTCGTAGAGGGTCTTCTTCTCCTGCGCTGTTCTTCCACCCTCCCATGCATGACGTCCTTCTCTAAGGATTGGTCCCTCCTTGCAGCATGTCCAGAATATCTCAGACAAAGCTTCAGAATCCTTTTCTTCAAGGAGCACCCCGGCTTAACCTTTTCTAGGATGAACTTGTTTGTTTTCTTAGCAGTCCATGGTATAGTCAATACTCTTCTCCAAAACCACAGCTCAAAGGTATCTATTCTCCGGCAGAGAAAGGCAGAGTCCGAAATCCTTGGGGCACATGCGGGAGGCAGAGATCAGAGCCAAAGAGTCATCTCGGAGAGGAAAAGATGGGCCAGGAGGCAGGGAATTCAGCTTTCTCCCACCCAACAGGTAAAAGAGATCCAGAAGCTGGCAGAAATCCTTGGGGCTCGAGGGCCATAGGAAAACAACACTATATACCAGATCTACAGGACACATCACCCTAGCTTGGGAAATATTATCCCTAAACTCAAGAGATACTGGCCACAGCATAAGAAATTGACAACAGTTGAAGGGTTTGGAATCACAGAAGCTCATAAAGCTTGAGATATAAGCTTTCAGATCAAGGGCTGGACAACGGGAGATAGGTGTTGAAGGGAGTGGGTGGGAGTGGAATGGGTGGAGTAGGAAAATGGGTGGGTCAAGACACATGTGTCAAGGGTGAAGACATCACTGAAACTATTGGTTAAATCTATAGTTGGGAAAATATCTTTCATCTGCTTTTTTCCATAAAATGCTTGTCTGTCAGATACCTTTATAAATCTTAGCATTCAGGTTAAGACAGACTAAGAAGGACTGGCCATCAACTTCCAAAATAGCAGGCCTCTGAAAACTCTATGTAATACTTAGGGGTGCTATGGGTAAAATCTTTTATGATCCAGGAAACTTCAAAAGAAGATGTAGGGAATACACCAAGTCATGTACCAGAAAGAATTGGCCAACACTGAAATATTTCAGGAAGTACAGTCAGAAAATCAAAACATGAATTGCATTGGGAAAGTCCTCCCCTAGAATACTGAACAGCAATGATGACAGTATGGATAATAAGGTGGCCTGATACAACTGGTGGCCATCATCTTTGCCATTACTAACTATGCATCAGAAAACTGGACAATAATTAAGGATAGAAGAAGGAAGAAGGATGGATGCCTTTGAGTTGTGGTGTTGGAGAAGAGTGTTGAACATACCATGGACTTCTAGGAAAAGAAATAGGTCTGTCCTGAAGAGGGTGAAACCAAGCTGCTCCCTGGAGGCAAGGATTTTGAAGCTCCATCTCACATAGTTTGAGCACATGGCTATTAGGGACCAGTCTTTAGAGAGGGACATCATGCTTGGAAGGGTGGTGGGTCAGTTCAGGAGAGAAAGACCCAAGATGAATTGGATTGGCTTAGTGACTGGAGAAATGGAATTAGGTCTGTTTGAGACAATA